CTTTAAAATCAATTCTAGCGCCTTTCTTGTTCATTTTTATCTCAGAGCAGGAGTTGTTAGGGGCACCTTTCGAGTTCTCAAGGTAAGCTGAGCTTGCTCCTTTCTTGGAGGGATGAGGATCACAGAGTTGTGCATTAATCTTATAAAGCTCAAGGGCTTTAATAGCTGCTGCATTATTATCCATACGAAGAAAAGTTGGACAGGAAGCACAAAACTCATTCATGCAGGCCTCATTTCCACAGCCCTAGGTTAACTGGTGGTAGTAGCGTTCTATTAGATGCTTTGCAGCTGCTCGCTTCATTCGGCTAGCTTCAATGTTCTCAGACTGAGGTTCTCCTGGTGATCTTTTACAAGCTGTGGCCATTCGGTGACATCAGGGAGATCACAGCTTTGAGGAACTGATTAAAAGCAGGCTGTCACACCAGTCTAGCTGCTACCTTGATCTGAGCGTAGGCTTAATAACTCATATTTCGCCAAACTTCTGTGGAGCTGGTGAATTCTAAAATCAGGCTCTTACAGATTTTTAACCTTATGTTATACCTTACGTTACAGCTATCTGTATACATTTGTCAGTGCCTCTAGTTGTAAGCTGATTGATAGTAGGGATCATCTCTTCCATATTTTAATTTTCATAATAATGGTGACTATGTTTTCTTGACACCATAACCCTCTGTCGTCGCCCCCACGCCTGGGCGCCTTTAAATTTTTGTAATATTTTTAGTAGGAATGACACTAGCTCTTCTGTGTATGTCCGAAGAATTCAGCTGTGAATCCATCTGGTCCAGGGCTTTTCTTCTGATTAGTAGATTTCTTGTTACTGATTCAATTTTGGAAATTGTTATTAATCGATTTAGGGTTTCAATTACTTCCTTGTTCAAACTTGGGAGGTTGTATATTTCTAGGAATTTATCCATTTTTGTAGATTTTCCAATTTGTGTGCATACAGGTATTTGTAATAGTCTCTGAGGGTTTCTGTGTTTCTGAGGGCTTTATGGTAATGTTCCCTTTCTCATTTCTGATTTTATTTATTTTGATCTTTTTTTTAAATTAGTCTGGTTAGTAATCTATCCATCTTACTTATTCTTTCAATGATCCAACCTCTAGTTTTGTTGATCATTGGAACGGTTTTTTGACTCTCGGTTACATTCAGTTTAGCAGTAGTTTTGGTTATTTCTTGTGTTCTGCTAACTGCAGGATTGATTTGCAGGATTGATTGTTTTTTGTTTGTTTGTTTGTTTGTTCCTCTAGTGTAACGTTTGGTGATTAATTTAACTTCTAACTTTTATATTTTGGCATTTAACATATGTTGATTGATGTGTCATGTCTCTCTAAAATGTATAAAACCAAGCTGTGCTCTGATCACCTTGGGCCAATGTCATCAGGACCTCCTGAGGTTTTGTCATGGGTCCTCATCCTCAACCTTGGCAAATAAACTTTCTAAATTAACTGAAACCTGTCTCAGATATTCAGGGTTCAAACACGACTTTAAGGTTTTAAATTGCTGGAGAAAATTTTGAGACTAAGCTTATTAAATTAATCTTACCAAAGATTGCTATAGTCCTGTGAACTGGAAAGTCTCTGAGCTAGCTTCTATTAATTTGATAAACACTTTTCTTTGAACAAGTTAATTAGAGTTCTCTCATATGATTAATGAATATCATTTCCACAACACACATAAAAACATATTGACATAGAAGACTCAGACAGAGGCAGATCTTATAGATTTAAAATGTTTCATTTGCCTATTTTCAAACATGTTATAGCACCTGATACAGGTTATTAATCTCTTGATTATCTGTCCCTTGTCCTAAACAATTGTTCATAAGTAACTCTAAATTTGAATCTCCAAAGATATGACTTAGGTTTAAAAAAAAGGTAGAAAATGTACATCTCAAAGGCATAAACATAGATGTAAACGAAAGCAAGGTCTGTTATGTAAACTTTAAAACATTGTCTATTCCCTAGTTAAAATTTCTAGTGGTTTAAGTGCAAAGACACAGTTACCTTTACAGAAGACGAGATTTTATTTAAATATGAAAATTTTCTATACAAAGAGGTTTATTTAAATTATTTAGTTTGATAGATGGTCTTTTCATCTTAGTTTTATTAGATTACTAACTTTTGGGTGAAGCCCTTTAAGAAACAGGGCGAAAAAAGCATGCAGGTTTTAGGGCTTATACAATGACATTTTTATCTAAATGTTTGAATAAATGAGTTGTTCCTTGTAGAAATGACCATTTTCTATACATTTTGCTCAGACATCACTAACATTGTCATTCTAATCTGCCACTACACACACCAAGGTCAAATTTTGTAACAGTACAAAATACTCTCTAGTACCACCAATGCCAAAGAGATCAGATAATCCAATAAAAGAAGGCAGAACTTTAGACTTATAAGAAATCTGCCCAGGACACTTGAAACTTCACAATGAAAGCAGTATACTCTTAAAAAAAGTGAGTGTTGACATTATTCTCTTTGTTAAGGGATCTGAGTTATTAGAAGCCTTTGCTAGATTTTTTTGCTCACTTGGTACTGAAGATGAAAAAAGAGGTATAAGAAATAGGGTAAAAGAAAAGTAAAATTAAAAATAATTTTAAAGAAAGAAAATAGAGGAAAAAAAGCAGTTTTTTAATTAATTTATTTTTTTTTTTGGTAGTTGTGGGGAATTTTAGCAAATTCAGAAGCCTTGTTTTTCATTATTTGGAATTCTCACTCAGATTTGACCAAGTCAGGTAGAGTTTGTCAAACCTGATAAGAGAAATACTTGTGAAAGAAAAATAAATCTCGGGATTCTCAAATCACTAAGCCAAAAGACAAATCAAGCTGGAAACTGTGTCAGGCAAACGTGCCTCCCATTTTATTTCTAAATAAAATAGCTACAGAGATAAGAAGCTACATGATCTCCCTCACAGTTTTTCCACAAGAAAATTCCTTGTGCACTAAATATTCCTAGAATAAGTTTGATCTGACTGAGTGTCCTCACAACCCAATAATAAGTAGACAAACTGCAGAAGAAGGGAGTGTATTGCTGTAACTGGATACAGAGAGAAGATCAGAGATAGCTTTACCAGACCAACTCAAAGTGTTACAATTGGGGTTATGTGCCTACACATAGCATCATGTTAGTCCATCTCATTTGCCTAAGTTTATAAGTAATAATTTTGTTTTAACTAGAAGGTGAGAGGCCAAAATTGCTTTTTAAGTTTGATCAAGTTGTGAGGCCCCTGGCATTTTCAAGATCTGCCTCTTTAACCTTGATTTGTCTCAAATTTCATCGACCTGAGTTGGCTCCTGGCATAAGGAATGTAAAGGTGTCTCCATTATTTTGACTTGCTCCAGATTAGGGAGAAGCCTGTGCAAGGCTCCTACTGACCATATGTTTTATTTCTAGCTTTGATGTCTGGGCATTGATTTCCCTTATTTTAATTATTTGCTCAATGTTAAACCAGTGCTGTGAAACTTTGTTGGTACAACTGGGGTAATATGCAGGCCTGTCTGTGTGATTGTCAGGGAGTATTGGCTTGCTACAAATGGACAGACAGAACTCAAAGTCACCATTCTGAGACTCACCTGAGACAAACACATATCTGATTGCTCTCTTTCTCCTATTGCTTAGGAAAAGATGCAGATTCACTGAGCCAGGCTAAATTGTGTATTCAGTGGAAGGCTGATCAAGAACTCAAAAGAATGCATCCCCTTATCTACTTCTGGAAGCCCCAACTTCAAGTTGTCCTACATTACTGGATGAAACCAATGTATCTCTTACAAATATGGATTGATGTCACATGTCTCATTAAAATTTATAAAAGCAAATTGTACCCCCATCCACCTTGAACACATGTTGTCAGGACTCCCTGAAGGTGCAACATGGGTACATTCTTACCCTTAGCAAAAAAGACTTTCTAAATTGACTGAGACCCTGTCTCTAATAGGGTTAACATACTAAAAAATAACAACAACAAAACAAAAGATATGGTTCCTGAGCACTATAATAAGAAGATGAAATTACGACCAGCTGTTTGTCAACCTTAAATTTTAGACATTAAGGATAATTTTGAAGACAAAATTATAATTTAGCTACTTACCTAGGCTCAAGACTGCTTTATACCATCTTAGAAGCAGGAAAAACTCAAACTCTCCACTCCTGTTGGAAGTCAGGAAAGAGTTGTTTGCCCTCCATCATCATAGAAGCAGGAAAATTCATCTTCCTTGTTGAACATAAGTGAAACTGCAGAAAATGTGTTATATAGCAAAATAAGCCTTATATAACAACAACAAATTGGAAGGTCAGGGATTCTCTGGAGGAGAGAGCTCCTAAATCTCAGCAAATAGTCATTGGTTTGAGAAATAAATATATTCCAAGCTAGTACCAAGCACCAATAGATTTGTCAAAGGTCAGGGCAACCTCCACTCTGTTTCTTCAATTGGTTGCCAATTTGCAAATCAGAAAGTATATAACACGGATCTCAATCATTTTGAAAATTTATTTTGCCAAGGTTAAGGACATGACCAGAATAAGAAACATGTAATCACAGAACCAATCATTGGTCTGTGCCTTTCTCCAAAGATGAATTTGAGAGTTTCAATATTTAGAAGATAAAAGTGAGCTGGAGGGGAAAGAAAAAGAGTATTGGTAATCCTCATGATGAAAGGGAAAAGAAACAGGTAGAGGAATAGTAAATTATGTATTTCTCAAACTCAGTAAATCAACACTTTACATAAGATACAGTGAACATACAGTAGCAACCTGTGGAGATATTTAATCTTTTATATATAGGTATCTGCTTAGGAACAGAAGGAAGGCAGTTTCTTGCATGACTCAGCTTTCAGTGTATTTTTTTCTTAACTTTGGCATCGTTAATTGGGGTCCTGAGTTTTTACTTTTTAGTCACAGCATAGATTCCAACTCTGATCTAGAGGCCTGAAAACCAGAAGCCCTGAGGGTATGGACGTTCCAGCTCAGCAGTCAGGTGGAGTGCTAATTCAACCTTCTTCCTTTTTTTTTACTATTTAGTCCTTAAACAGATTATAGGAGGGCCCTCTGCTTTGCTTAGTCTGGAAATTCAAATGCTAATTTTACACGGAAACACCTGCAGAGACATTCCCAGAAGTAATGTTTCATGTGCTATTTAGGCATCTCATCAGCTGGTCAAATTGACACAAAAAATTAGCCATCAAATCAGACATATTGGACTAGATGCTAGCCATCTGACCTCACTT